ATATTAAATTATATTTTTTATATAGTAATAATATTATTAAAATTAATATTTAATATTTTATAAAGAAATTAACAATTGTTTTTAATTTCATAGGCAAATTTGCCTGCTAGACAATCTAAAGGATAATTTAAAATTAGACTTAGGTATTTAATTTTTTGCTTAGATAAAGAATTTTTTAAATGTTAAAGTAATATATAGAAGATTTTCTAGAAAAATAAAATTCTAAGAATTTTTTAATTAAAATTCAATATTATCAAAAATTAAAATGTAATAAAAATTAAAAATTTTTTCAGAATCCCATTTTTCTTGCAAATCTCCTACATGATAATTTTTTTTCAAAGATTATTCTTTACAAAAATATTCAAAAATTACAAAAATTTTGAAATAAATTATTTAGTTTTAATAACTATATATAATTATATTTTGCAAAAAAATTATTCATTTTGTACTATAGGTAGTGATACTTACTTAACTCTTTTTTAACAATTGTAGTTTTGTTAAAAGGATTATTTGTCTCTTTAATATTTTTCTATAAATAATAAATATAAAATTATTATATTTTTTAATGTATTTTAATTTAAGGAATTTAAATATAATTTTGACAATTAATTAAAATAGTTTCATCATTTATAAAAAACTATTTTTGTCATTTCAGTTTTTCAGTTTCGTTATATTAAGAAAGGTAATTTTGTCAGTTATCACTAACTATAAGAGTCATATAGTTTTAACTATTATCATATCCTCTATTTTAATTAAGTAAAAAAATGATTCTAATAATTCTATTAAAAAGATCAATTCAATATAACTATCATATAGAAGCATTACTAGTAAAATCACATATGATTTACTATGTCATAATTGTCATAATTGATAATATCTAACAATTTTCATTTGATAATAATAAGTTATTTTACTAAATATATTTAATATATTTTTTAAGAACATAATGTATTAATTTTATACTGCTAAAAATAAATACAAAATATCTTTATAATACTTTAATTATTATTTTACAATATAAAAAAATAAAATAAAAATATGAAATGAGTACTGGAAAAAGTAATTATATTAAAATTTTATTGCTAAGTGAAATTATATTAACCGTGTGACAAGTGTCACTCTCGGACTGCGCCCGACTTTTCGGATCTTTAGATCACATACATTTTATTTTTATTTTTATTTTTATTATTATTATTATTATTTATCGTAAAATCGACATGATGATAATTCGAATCTACATATTCATCTGATCCATTAGCAAGAAGATATAACAACTTCAAAGTTTAATGCATCAGATTATTGCTATATTTAGATTTATGTATATTATGTGTTCAAGCAAGCTTTCCTTACGGCAAAATACAACACAAATTGACAAGACTAAAAAAATTAAAAATTATTAACGTATTATATTCTTTAATTTATTAGAACGTTTCAGTGAAGAAGTGGACAATTACGGGATATGTATGTGATTTTGTTTATTTTTATTTGTATTTTTATTCTTTTTTAAATTTTTCTTCAAGTAGAGGGAGTAACGAGCTGATGTATGTTAAAAACAAGAATTGATAAACTTTAATATCAATTCTTTACAACACATCCATTTAAATGAAGATTAACAAGTATTTAATTTAAATACATGATTGATCCTTTAATTCAGTTTTCAATACCAATTTATTTGTAATGTGCATTTGTTACTTTGTATATACATAACATGAAGAAATAACAACTTCCATCATTAAAAATATTTTTTAAAATGTAATTTATTATATTGAATAAAGATTCTAGCAGTTCCATTTTGTGTGAAAATAAGTAGGAATCGAAATACAAAAATCCTTGCGCTGTAATGAAAACTAATGTTTTATAAATGTCTGCCGTATTTTTGGTTGGAAGTTACTAAAGCTAATTATTAACCGGTTAACTGACTGTTAACTGTTAATAATAATATTTAATAGTAAACCGATTAATTATAAGTTGGTTAATTTCAACAGTTAATTAGCCGGCTAATTTTAACGAAATGTTGGAATGAGAGAAAAAAACTTTTTTTTTGTAATAACAGTTTTAGGCAAGCATAATCTGTTGCGAATGAAAGATAGTTTATTTGTAAACGAAATAACTAATATGTAGATAAATATGGATAAATTGGTTTATTTAACTTTTTTTTTGAACTTTTGTAAATATGTGGGTCGTTTGCTATTAAAATTAGGTTATGAGACATAGTAAATTATGATCCGAACATGAATTTTTGGCAAACCTCCCATATGACTTATTAAAAGACTAAATAAAAAAAATCGAAGAAAGTATTTTTTGTAGCTTAGGCATTAATTTAAACATATCATAATTTTAAATAACTTAACGATATTAATTCTTATATTTACGTAAAAATGAACTAAGAAATTACTTAATGAAATAATTATTAAATATTTGTGGATATGATTTTCTTCAGTGTTAAAATTAATAAACATATCGAAATTATTTAAAAAATTGTCCATAATTTTTTCGGATGATTTTAATTGCGAAGCCAAATCCTCATTCACACCCGTCCACTTCGTCATCATTTGTGGAATAGTAGCAGACAATTTCCATGGTTCAGATGAAGAACCCCCTTCATTAGTAGAATCATTCGCGCTTTCCATAATTTCGTTTTTTATTAGGGTACCAATTTTCGACAACATTGTAAAAAAATTTTTTATTTCGAATTTGGAAACGACGACTTCATAATTAGCTTTCGGATGGTCTTTTTTGATTAACCGTAGCTTTGTTATATGAATATTTTGATTAAAAAAATAGTCGTGTTAAGTATGTTAATGTTTATTTAAAAACGGTCAAAATAAATGTATCGTCAAATTTGTATATTTTGAGAAAGAAAAAGAAAATAATAATTCGCCGCATTAAAAAAAAGATTATAGAAAGAAAAAGAAAATAATAATTCGCATTAAAAAAAAGATTATTTACAGTAGATTGATAAAATAGAGTATGACGAACCCCCTTATTGTAATTTTTCGGGTGATGCAATACTTTTGACCGCCACTGTACATATCTAGATTGTTATCAGCACAATACATGCATGTATGTATAGCTAAAAAAAAAAAAAAAAATTAAGAAAAAAGATTACAGAAAGCTTAAAATTTCTAGTTTGCAATTATATAAGAACATACCTTTCCAAGACAAAATTTATAAAAGTCAAACGTATACGAAAGAAATAAACCGCGCGAAAAAATATTCTTTTATATCAACATTAAAATATCACGCACTTGAAAAATAATCAATAGCCTTCCCTTCATAATATCACCCTCGGGTTTCACCGCGGCTCTGACGATCAATCTATGTCGGATCTGTTGGAATTGACTTTTCCGGAAAAAAGATGTCAAAATGACCACTTTTAACATCAGGAATCAATTAATTAGCATTTCCGTCATCAAAGTAACAAAGCCATGGGAAGGAAATTTATTATAAAAACGTTTTCTTAGTTTACGATGGTACAAGGCAGTAATAGTTGCATTATTGTATTTATTTATTTTTATCTAATAAATTTATTTTATTAAAAATTGCTTTACATTTATATTTCATTACATTACAATCGTATTTAATAAAACAAATAAAATTCTAACACTACCTAATAAGGAAAGCCCAGATTCTTTGATGCAATCAAAATTCTGTATGCACATTTGTGATTTTCTGATGATTAAAGAATTTTTTTTTTTTTTTTTTGAAACTGACAGCTGAATTACATTCATGCTTAACTCGATATTATGAATCGATAACAACTTTGGAAGTATTTTCTCACGTATACAATTTCTCTACTCTACTACAAGTATAAAAGGATATCGTTACATTGTCATATATTCTATTTTAATGGAATCAAGAACTTCTAATGATAATAGATCCAGCATTTAATATTAATTGATCGATCTGATCTTTTATTTCATCTAATAAGCAAAATTATAAATGAATCAATTAATATAATATTCGTATTTTCAAAGAGATTTTCCTTAATAACTTCAACTTACTTTTAGAATCATCAATTCTTTTCCTTCCAACCAATGCAACATTTTTTGTACTAGGGATTCTTAACCAATCAATTTCTGTAATAAATCCACATTTCTTTATTATATCTTCAATATATTCTTGATATGCTTTATATCTTCCTGAAGTTATTGTCGTGTTTGGAAATGTATATTTTGAGCCAGATAATGAATAAAAACAACACGGAATAACCATGAATCTAAATAAAACCGAGTTAATATTTAATTATTACTAATAAGAAAATTTTAAATATTAATATACTTTGTAGATGATGATGATTTTGATGATATTATAGGTATCCTATAGTCATTAATAAAAAAATTGTTAGCCTGAAAAGTAAATAGTGTAATTGATATAATCATTTATGTTTTATTACCATGGAACAAGTTCATCTGCGTGATTCCCTATTATCCAATCTATACTTGGATAAGTTATTAAATTTGGCTGAATCGCACCTTCTAAAAATACAAAAAAAAAAGAAATTAACGTATTATATATACATGTATATATTTTATAATAAATGTTACCTATTAAATTAACGCCTTTCTCCATGAATACATCCCATATTTTTCTTTTTCTTGAATCAACACCAAATCCAATATATCCCTCAGATGATAAAATAAAGGTTAATAATCCATTACCACAACCTAAATCAATAAACGATTGTAAAATTGATGATTTTTGTTCGGCTCTTTCTAATTCCCATATAGAAATTAGCCAACTTGCTATAGCAATATCTTCAAATACAAATTTTATAGGATCTGTCTTTTCAGTCCAATTCCTTTTTAAATATAATTATGGAAGTCAATAAAGGAAATTATATAAAGGAAAATCTTCAAGAAATCGGAATTACCTGACTAAATCAATTGCATATTTATTTTTTAATCTTTGATAAGTTTCTTTATATAATTCTTTTGGTACTAATAAATCATGATGGACACGCTTTTCGTAACCCATTGATGTGTTTTGACACCATTTGTATAATTTTTTAAATAATTGCTTGTATGCATATTTCTAAATTTAAAATGATAATTATAATTATTGAGTTTTTAAAAATAAATAAATAAATCTTTAAATTACTTACCATTTTATCAGTAATTTCAAAGAATTGTAGTAAGGGAATAATTTCAATAAGTATTTGTGATTGATAATCAATTTCTGAATCATCATTTGAAGGAGTTCTTTGGCCACATTCCTTATAAACGTAGCTGAAACTCGTTACCTAAATTCGATAATTATAAGTAATGATTTATATGAATTAGGAGATATTAAAAAGCTTCGTACCTTTGGGTAATAAAACGGAATATCCTCATGTGAGAGGTCCCTAGAATTTGCTAATATCGGTGTATATACAACTCGACTTTCTAAAATAAAATATTAAGGATCATGATTAAAATATATATCTAAATCATTTCAAAACTAATTTATAGATACCATTTAAATTTTCATCTATATAATATTCAACCAATTCTTCTAATTCATCATCTTTATTCTTTCTTTTAGGAATCAATTTTCTGTTAATACTTCGTATTGGTTCTATATTTGCGGTAAATTCGTCATGTGTTGAGTTACATGTCATATTTTCAATATCATTTATAATTTCAACGCGTTCAATAGGTGGAATTACTAAATGCACTTCATTTGTCCAACGTTCCTACAATAAAAAAATGTTTAATTTCTTACTTTTTAACAAAAAATTAAAATATTTAAATTTACTTACCACAACTTTCCAAAAAACTTCTAAATTAAAAGAAACATTTGCTTCTGCTATAATACTCCATGATTTATTATTCCATAACCTTGATCGATTTTTCTCTTCATTCAAATAATATTTTGGTTCAAATTTTGTGGCTGTATCCTTTTCATAAGTTAAAATATTATTTGTCATGATTTAATAACAAAAAGATCTTGTATTGATCGACTTGAGATTTATTAACCAATAAAGTCATGCAGATCCGTCACATAATTTGTCATTTGAAAATTTATAAATATGATTACTTTTTCCAGTACTCATTTCATATTTTTATTTTATTTTTTATATTGTAAAATAATAATTTAAAAATATATTGAATATATTTAGTAAAATAACTTATTATTATCAAATTATAATTGTTAGATATTAACAAATATGATCAAACTATAAGATATAGTAAAATATAAGTGATTTTACTAGCAATGCTTCTATATAATAATTATAATGAATTGATCTTTTTAATAAAATTATTAGAATAATTTTTTTTACTTAATTAAAATAGAGGATGTGACAGACCTTACTCAATAGTTAAGCTATATGTCTCCTATAGTATAAAAATGAATAATTTTTTTGCAAAACTGTAATTAATTATATTATATATATAGTTATCAAAACTAGATAATTTATAGTAATTTATACTTATTTTTTAATCAAAAATAACTTAGATATAATACATTGATTTTTTATTTATTTAACTCAAATTTTTTAAAAAATTTTGTAATTTTTGAAAGAATAATCCTTGCAAAAAGATTATCATATGAGAAATTTGCTAGGAAAATAAAATTCTAAGAATTTTTTTTATTTTTTTTATTAAATTAAAATGCAATAAAAATATTTTAATCAAAAATTCTCAGAATCCCATTTTTCTAGCAAATCTTTTATCACTTTAACATTTAAAAGATTTTTTATTTAAGCAAAAAATTATTTTTGTTATAAATATCTAAATCTGATTATAAATTATATTATAGAAATTTGTTCAGTTATTAAATTTTGATTCTGAAAAAATAAACCTAATTTATTTAATATCTAAAAATTAAAAAAGAATAACTATTAAAGAAAGAAGTTAATTCTTGAAAAATATATCAAAATTTATACTTTTTAATTTTAAACAATACTTTCTATAAAAATAAGTCATTATTAATATTTGAAAATATTTATATATAAAAAAATTTAAAAAAATAAAATTATTCAATATTAATTTCATCTTTCTATATATAAATCATACCAAAATCAAAAATTTTTACTATAATCAATAATAAATTATTTTCAATTCTGTTAACCAAAATTTTTATTATAACTATAAAAATTCTAAATTATTAAGTAATTTGTTTATAATTTATAATTTTATTAAGACTAAGGTTGCTTGTCTAAACTCATTTTGGATTTGGAAAAATAGTAAAACCTTTAGTTTCGCAAAATTTTACTAAGTATTTGATATAGTTTCGCCATTTTTATAAGCTTTAATATAGTTTTACCTTTTTCCAAATTTCGCAAATTTTTTAATAAG